GAAGTTACTTATCGTTTCTTATGTCCCACTGATCTTCTAATGAACAATTGGTTTGCGGTTCAACCAGTAAACTGAATCCCTCTCCCATCAATGAGAGGGTGGGGCCCTTGTTCCAGACCTAGAGTCAGTACTTAAGGGAACAACCTCTCTACTTTCCCTAAAAGCGAGTAGGAGTGAGTTTCATCTTACACCCTATGTCCCCAGCTATTCACCCAGTCTTACCCTTGAAATGGGAGACTTATTGAGTCAAAGAACTCGGGTCATCTCACCCATGCAAATCTAAGAATAATTTCGAATAAATAGGAGCTCATAGTTAGCTCAGGATTAAGATCGAGTTACCTAGGTCATCAAATGAAAAAATCAATCTCAACAGTAAACAGCGTTATAAAGTGAGAATGATTTTCTTCATGGTCTGATCTTATGCAATACTCATTGTATTGGACGCTCCACTCACATGTCTCCACATATACAATTTAGTGATCACATTGTTTATATCATATATAAAAGTGGGTCGCATCCATAGTGTCCCTAGGATAAGGTACTCAGCCTTATCTCTGTACTATAGATCATTTTGACTATATACTTAAACTTGATCCACTCTTATGTCTCTACATATAGTTCAATACTTTAGCTAGAGTATTCTTCGTTTATTGGATTTAGATTAATGATCGTAAAATTCATTTTATTCAATAACAATATTTACTGAATAAACATCAATAATAACTTTATTGAAAATAGAATATGTTTTGTTTACAAACTATGAGTTTTAGGACATAAAACCCAACAAATGCACACCTTTTGAACTTGTTTATGGCTTTAATCCTTAACCCCCATTGACTTGTTATCTATTCCGTCAAAAGAGTTTGTGAATTTTGATGCAAATGTCAAGGTTGAGTTTGTTCATAAACTGCACAAGCAAGTAAAAGAACAAATTGAGAAGCAAAATTCCAACGTTGCCACCCAAATTAATAAAGGAAACAAGAATGTCATCTTCAAGCCAAGAGATTGGGTTTGAATGCAGTTCTAAAAAGAAAGATTTCCTAAGAAAATCTAAGCTTTGACCACGAGGAGATGGACCATTTCAAGTTCTTGAGCGTATCAACGACACTGCTTATAAAATTGATTTACCAGGTAAGTATGGTGTTAGTGTAACTTTTAATGTTGTTGATTTGGGTCCTTTTGATGTAGGTGATGGCTGGGATTCGAGGACGAATCCTTCTCAAGAGGGGGAGAATGATGTGAACCACGACCAAGGAATTTCCACATCTTAAGGTTCAATTACAAGGACGATAGCCAAGAAGCTACTACAAACCTTGTACACTTATATTCAAGCTATGGTGGGCTCATCAAAGGAAATTCTAAAAGACGTTGAAGACCTCCATTATAATATGTTGTGCAAAGTTGAGCTTCAAGAAAAAGATACATTAAATGCACTCTAAGTTACATTTAATGAACTCAGCTAAATTTATGGAACTAGTTCAATAATAACAAATAACCACATTTCATTCATTGCACTGTTTAATTATAATTTAAATATTTGTTTGTTTTTAATATAGGAGTTAAGGTTATATTGCAACCGTTACCATATTCCACCATTAACTACTCATTTTAATATGGAGGTTATGGATATTTCTCATTTACTAACCAATTAACTGGAGCCATATGTGTTAAGGTTGTAAAGGCTGTATAAAGCCTCATTTTCTTTGACCAGGGACATCACATTTTTTAATTAGAAAGGAATATAATTTCTATTTTTTTTAGATTTGTTGAGAGCTAAGAACTTCTTTGAAAATTCTTGTGTTTAGAACTCGCATGTCAAAATCATTCAAGTGGTAGAGATCAAACCTCTTGTGGAGTGATTCGAATCACGAGTTTAAAAATGAGTTTCTTTACTGATCTTGATTATCAAGATAATCTCTTCCATACTTTCCCTTGGGTTGATTCCATATCGCAAGAGAGAACGCGACGGTTCCGCAAAATTCAGCTCCCAACCATCGAGTTGGGGCATTCCCCAACCCAATGCCAAGAAATAATTTTTTCGCTACTGTGCAAAAAAACCACTCGATTTCGGCCGCCCAACTAGAACGCAAGCGAGAACGCGCCGGTTGTGCAAAATTCGGCTCCCAACCATCGAGTTGGCGCATTCCCCACCCATTGTCAAGAAATAATTTCTTCCCTACCGCGCGAAAAAACCGCTCAGTTTCGGAATCGCCCTACTAGAATGCAAGTGAGAATGCGCCGGTAACGCAAAATTTGGCACCCAACCATCAAGTTGGGGTAGTCCCCACCCCAATGCCAATAAATAATTTTTTCGCTACCGTGCGAAAATATCGCTTGATTTTGGAACCGCCCTACTAGAACGCAAGCAAGAACGCACCGGTTCCGAAAAAATCGACTCCCAACCATCGAGTTGGAGCATTCCCCACCCGTATGTCAAGAAATAATTTTTTCGCTATCGTGCGAAAAAACCGCTCGGTTGCGGAACTGCCCTACTAGAACGCGCCGGTTCCGCAAAATTCGGCTCCCAACCATCGAGTTGGGGCATTCCCCACCCCAATGCCAAGAAATAATTTTTTCGTTACCGTGCAAAAATACCGCTCAATTTCGGAACCGCCCTACTAGAACGCGTCGACTCCGCAAAATTCTATTCTCATCCATCAAGTTGGGTCATTCCCCATCCAAATGCCAAGAAATATATTCTTTGCTACCGTGCGAAAAAATTGCTCGGTTTCAGAACCACCCTACTAGACGCACCCATAACGCAAAATTCGGCTCCCAACCATCGAGTTGGGGCAGTCCCCACCCCAATGCCAAGAAATCATTTTTCGCTACCGTTCGAAAAACCCGCTCAGTTTCGGAACCACTAATAGAACACAAGCGAGAACTCGCCGGTTCCGCAAAATTCGACTCCCAACCATCGAGTTGGGGCATTCCTCACCCCAATACCAAGAAATAATTTTTTCGCTACCATGTGAAAAAATTGCTCGGTTTCGGAACCACCCTACTAGGACGCAAGCGAGAACGCACCGGTAACGCAAAATTCAGCACCCAACCATCAAGTTAGGGTAGTCCCCACCCCAATGCCAAGAAATAATTTTTTCGCTACCATACGAAAAAACTGCTCAATTTCGAAATCGCCCTACTAGAATGCAAGCGAGAGCGCACCGGTTCCGCACAATTCGGCTCCCAACCATCGAGTTGAGGCATTCCCCACCCCAATACCAAGGAAATAATTTTTTCGCTACCGTGTGAAAAAATCGCTCGGTTTCGAAATAGCCCTACTAGAACACAAGCGAGAACGCGACGGTTCCACAAAACTCAGCTCCCAATCATCGAGTTGGGGCATTCCCCACCCCAATTCCAAGAAATAATTTCTTTGCTACCATACGAAAAAACCGCTCAATTGCGAAACCACCCTACTAGAACACAAGCGAGAACGCGTGATTCCGCAAAATTCGGCTCCCAACCATCGAGTTGGGGCATTCCCCACCCCAATGCCAAGAAATAATTTTTTTCACTACCGTGTGAAAAAACCGCTCGGTTTCGGAACCACCCTACTAGAACGTGCCGGCTCCGCAAAATTCTGCACCCATCCATCGAGTCGGGCTATTCCCCATCCCAATGCCAAGAAATAATTTTTTCGCTACCGTGTGAAGAAATCGCTCGGTTTCGGAACCATCCTACTAGAACACGCCCATAACGCAAAATTCGGCTCCCAACCATCGAATTGGGGCATTCTCCACCCCAATGCCAAGAAATAATTTGTTTGTTACCGTGCGAAAAAATTGCTCGGTTGCAGAACCACCCTACTAGAACGCAAGCGAGAACGTGCCGGTTCCGCAAAATTCGGCTCCCAACCATCGAATTGGGGCATTTCCCACCCCAATGCCAAGAAATAATTTTTTTGCTACCGTGCAAAAAAATCGCTCGGTTTCAGAACCGCCCTACTAGAACGCGCCGGCTCCGCAAAATTCTGCGCCCATCCATGAGTTTGGTCATTCCCCATCCCAATGCCAAGAAATAATTTTCTCGCTTCCGTGCGAAAAAATCGCTCGGTTTCGGAACCGCCCTACTAGAACGCGCCCATAACGCAAAATTCGGCTCCCAACCATCGAGTTGAGGCAGTCCCCACTCCAATGCCAAGAAATAATTTTTCCGCTACTGTGCAAAAAAACCGCTCAATTTTGGAACTGCCCTACTAGAACGTAAGCGAGAACTCGCCGGTTCTGCAAAATTCGGCTCCCAACCATCGAGTTGGGGCATTCCCCACCCCAATGCCAAGAAATAATTTTTTCGCTACTGTGCAAAAAAACTGCTCGATTTCAAAATCACCCTAAAATGGGCTAGGTCTGCAAAATACACCTTTTGTTCAACATTCGAGAATTCTATTAACATGACTAAGTGTTAAAAGCATGGCTCTGATACCATGTTCAAACTCTCGACTCTCTACAATTGGATGATATTTTCCACTCTAAGCATAAGCTTTCATGGTTTTACTTCTAATTTTTCCAACAAGATGTATTCACTGCTTATAAATTCATAAGCGGTTGCACAACTTCTCTTCCAACAATCCCAACGAATCTTGCTGGTTTAAAACTATTTTAAAGGCAATTTTTTAAAAAAACATAAAACATTAAAACAGTTTGGTAAGGAGTTTATTACGAGCAGTGCTGGTTCTACTACACGTTGGAAACACGATGGCCCCTTCGCAAGACATTCACGGGTGCCAAGGTGTACAAACTATAGGACGACAAAGAAGGATGGTTAAACATTTGTGTTGGTGGTTGGATGGATGTGGTTGATGATTAAGGCATTTGAAGGGGAAAAAAAATCATCTTTTATTTCAATGTATATTTTAAAGACTTAAAATTTTAAAAAAAAACGGTTAAAAATTAATTATAAAATTAATTAAAATTTAAATAAAACCATGCCATGTCAACTGGAAGCTACCAACGCAATAAATATACGTACCCATACAGGTGAATGAGCGATGTTCTAGTAGCATCCATGGACGGCCATGGTCAGACCTCAAAAGGCCTCATCCAACGATCCACCAGCACACCCATCCATCCATCCAAAGCTCCAACTGTATTATTCAATTCATCATTAAATAAGCATATACAGTAACTATATTACAAATCTCTTGTTTTTCCTCTTTGAATTTCTTTCTCTTTACCAGATTCATGTGTTTTCTTGGGATCTGTTCTTCGTCTTTAAATCTGCGATCCACACACGATCTAAGAGATCATCCACTACTCTGATTTCGAGGAAGCAGCTTCCATTTTCCATTTCTGCAATTCAATGGCGTTGGTTGGGGCCGTGAACCTCTTTCTCTTCGTTGTTCTTCTTCTCTCTTCTTGCCAAGGTTGGTTCTCTCATACCTTCAATTTTAGTGTAACTACATCAACAATCAAAGTTCTTTTTCGATTCTGTTCTGTTACAAAGTTTCTCCTCAAAATCTTCAATTTTAGTGTAACTAATATCAACAATCAAAGTGATGTTTCGATTCTGTTCTGTTACAAAATTTCTCCTCAAATCTTCAATTTTAGTGTAACTAATATCAGCAATCAAAGTTCTGTTTCGATTCTGTTCTGTTACAAAGTTTCTCCTCAAATCTTCAATTTTAGTGTAACTAATATCAACAATCAAAGTTCTGTTTCGATTCTGTTCAGTTACAAAGTTTCTCCTCAAAATCTTCAAAACAGAGTAGCATCTATGATCGTTAGGGTTCAATTTTCTAGGGTTCTAGAGAGAAAGAATCGCCGTTTTCTCATTTTCCTTGCCCTAATCGACTCACAAAACGGAAACACAAAGTTTTGAGCACTTTCTCTTCACCAAAATAACCTATTCTTCCCAAATCTAACAAGCAAATGAAAAATCTATGCAAGTGCAGGTAGAGAAAATTGGGTGAAATCGAGATACCCGTTCATCAAGCGCGCTAGCTCTTTCTATCGCGACGGCCATGAGCGAGAGGGAGGTTACGATTATATAATCGTCGGCGGTGGTACCGCCGGCTGTCCATTGGCGGCGACATTGTCACAGAACTTCAGCGTGCTGCTACTCGAAAGAGGCGGCGTACCTTTCACGAATGCGAATGTGTCTTTCCTTCGAAACTTCCACATCGGCCTCGCCGACACTTCTCCGACCTCGGCTTCTCAGTTCTTCGCTTCGACGGACGGAGTAATCAATTCGAGAGCTAGGGTTTTGGGTGGTGGTTCCGCCATTAATGCAGGCTTCTATACCAGAGCAAGCGTAAGGTAGTTTAATTTCGCGCCCTTTTTTTCCCCTTTTTCAAAATTATTTTTATTTTTATTGTTTTTAAAAAATATACAAAAATAATAATTTTATAGGCTTCCATTATGCACATAAATTGATTAAAAAAACGAGCTAAAAAAGCTTTCTTTTTAATTTTCATTATTATTCATTTTCATTTCTATGTCTTAATTATATGACAATTATTATATGGATCTATAGCTTATTAAAATAATTTATATTTTTTGTTTAAAAAAATCTTCCTAATTTGTTTCATTTTCTTGTTTCTTTCTCAAAAATAATTTAAATTTATTGTAATTACATAAAGAAAAATAAAATGAAAACCAATGAATAATATTTTCTTAAAATAATTATATAAGCTTTTTAATAGAAAATATAACTACTTAATTTTCTAAAATAATAACAATAATTTGAAGGTTGGTAAAAAAAAACAATAATTTAGAAGGCAGGTATAGTGGGACCCATTTAGAGGTGGTTCATTTAATAACAAAATCCACTTACCCCACTCACCAACCCCATTTTATTAATGTCCACTAAATATGAGATTAAAAAATTAATTTTTAAAAATAAAAATATACAAAAGTCCAATTATATAATTATAATTATTTTTTTATTTCTTTTTAAAGTTTATAAATATGTTTTTAAACGACTAACACCCCAGGTATTTTTCAACTTTTTTTTTTATATTTTTAAAGTAAAAAAGAAAAAAAAATTAAGGTATTATTAAAAAAATTTAAAAACTAATTTAAAATTTTTAGAAAAGTTAAAAGCTTTTTTTTAACGTGGTTGAAAATGTTTGATGATTATGGGATTTTTTACTGACAATATCCTATCCTATGGATAAATTCTAATACAATTAAATAAATAAATAAATAAATAAATAGTTGGAGGAACGAATAAATTTTTAATACAATTAAATAAATAATTGAAGGAACGAAATCGAGTTTAATGAAGGAAATTGATTAGTGGGATTTGGCAGATTCATAAACAAAGTAGGTTGGGACGAGAAGCTGGTGAACGAATCATACTCATGGGTGGAGAAGCAAATCGTTCACCGCCCCAACCTCGCCGATTGGCAGAACGCTTTCACCCAAAGTCTACTGGACGTCGGTATTTCACCGTTCAATGGCTTCACCTACGATCATCTCTACGGCACCAAAGTCGGCGGAACCATTTTCGACAGTTCCGGCCGCCGTCACACCACCGCTGAGCTCTTAGCTTCAGGCAATCCCGATAAACTTACGGTTCTGGTTCATGCCACTGTTCAACGACTCATTTTTGACACCACTGATGGTTCGTTTGCTTCTTTCTCTCGCATTCATCGGTTTCGTGATTTTGTTTTCGCCCATTCGTTATCCAAATCATGGAGTTCTGAGGATATCTGTTCTAGTTTTTCTTAATTGGTTGAGAAATTTGGGTGAAATGCAGACATTTACGTGGCATTTATTCTGGTTTTGGTAAGATCTTTGTTTAGTTTAAACATTCAATGTGATCTTAAAAACATGAGAATTGAAGTTGAGGATCTTATTTAAGCCATTAGCACTTTCATATATGGTTTGAATTGGCCACTACAGGTAAGAAACCGAAGGCAATTGGAGTTGTTTTCAAGGATGAAACTGGAAATGAACACAAAGTTCTTCTATCGAGCAACAGTGAGAGTGAAGTAATATTGTCCAGTGGAGCAATTGGGACTCCACAAATGCTGCTGCTCAGTGGAATTGGTCCGAGGCCTGATCTTGAAAAGTGGAACATCTCCATGGTTCTTGACAATGAATTTGTTGGAAAAGACATGGCTGATAACCCTATGAACGCCATTTTTGTTCCAAGCAATAGACCAGTTCAGCAGTCACTTATACAAGCAGTGGGAATCACCAAGCTTGGTGTTTATATTGAATCTAGCAGTGGTTTTGGACAGTCGGATGAAAGTATTCACTGTCACCATGGTTTGATGTCAGCTGAGGTAAATTTAACATCTCTGTTTTCCCTTCATAATAAATATACAAACGTTCATTTTGTTCTTGAAAAACTTGATCCACTCTCATTTTCACTCCATTTCTTAGGTCATTCATATAAAAATTCTCATTTGAGTTTATTTGAGTTAAACTGAGTTATCTTTGCACATGAGTTAAGTAGATTTGAAGTATGTTAGTAGATGCATGATACTTATTTTGTGGGTTTAACCAGATTGGGCAGCTATCCACCATTCCTCCAAAACAGAGAACGCCTGAAGCTATTCAAGCTTACATTAAAACTAAACGAGACTTACCCCACGAGGCATTTAAAGGAGGTTTCGTCCTAGGAAAAATAGCAAATCCGATCTCAAAAGGACAATTAAGCTTGATCAACACTAATGTCGACGACAATCCTGCTGTGACCTTCAACTACTTTCATCATCCATATGATCTTCACCGATGTGTCGAAGGAGTTCGCATGCTTACGAAGATTGTGGATTCTAAATACTTCACAAACTTCACACAATGTGACGAGGAAACATTAGAAAGACTACTTAATATTAGTGTAAAGGCCAACATCAACCTCATACCGAAGCATAGCAATGACACCAAGTCCTTGGAGCAATTCTGCAAAGACAGTGTGATCACAATATGGCACTACCATGGAGGGTGTCTAGTGGACAAGGTGGTGAGCCATGACCTTAAAGTCCTCGGAGTAACTAGACTGCGCATTGTCGATGGTTCGACACTCAGCAAGTCCCCCGGCACCAATCCTCAAGCTACTGTTATGATGATGGGAAGGTATAATAATGAACTTCTGTTTGTTGGCAAACTCTCTTTCAAAGAAGAAAGTTGATAAACAGCAACTAATTACAAATGGATACCCTGTTTTGTGTTTGCAGGTACATGGGCCTGAAAATCTTGATGGATAGATTGGGAAAGAAATCTGGAATGTCGGAAGCATAAAGACAACAAAAAATTACAGGCTGTGTTACTTGTTAGTGAAGGTATGATCTGGGTGAGTTGATTATTAAAGAACGGTGGGCATGCGCACCTCTGGCTTGGTATGGAATTACAAATTTTTTAAGATGATAAGTATTCTTTATATATAGTCTCTTTCAGCTACTTGGCTACGATTTGTTTTGTATAATTTTGATAGTTTATGAGTTTTCATTCTTTGGATGCACTGGAAGACTAGACTTGTTCTTTATGTTTGAGCTAGATTCTAGTGAGTGTGCATCTGCAGTTGTGTATGGATAGCTTTATGATTTTGTTAACTTTAAGTGGAATATCTAACTTGTTTTATGTATTCAATTATTGCTTCACTGATGTCTTTAAATTTCATTAGATTAGTGTTGATTTGAACTAACCTAGAAAGATGGCCACAATATTAAAGGCCTAAGAAATGCAATTGATTTGAACTTCAAGATGTTGCGTTGCAAGAGATGAATAAACATAAACTAACGAAATCCAGGCCAAAATTTAGAAGAAAAGCCATGTTCACTGATGCTGCCTCGTGATAAACTTCTTAGTTTCTGCCAGAACTGCCTCTTCCTTCCCATTTTCAAGGGTTCTGAGTTTGATGTATGCCATCTCAAGGAAACTAATTCCTGTCCTTCAAATCTTGCAGATGCGCTGATTAAATCCGATGCCGATAGTCCTACATTCGTCTCTTTTTCTGAAGGAAACGGGTGCAAGGTGTCGGTAGCGTTTAGTATTTCCCCTGAAATTCCTCCAAATTTACTATCCATGTAACTTAGAAGTTCGTCTCGGCTGTAACTTCGTGAACCTGCCTCATTTGTCTCTTCGAACTCATTGCAAACAAGCTTTAGAGCTTGAACAACCTCGCCCATAAATGGTCTGTGAGACACTTCAGGTTGCACACACATAGAAGCAATTGCAGCTACTCTGGCCAAGCTATCAATAGAGATATCAGACTTAATAGCTGGGTCTGTAATTACATCTAACCCCTCCTTGCTCGTTAGAAGCGGTCGAGCCCAAGCAACAAGATTTTCTTGCCCCGGTGGAAGCAACAAGTCAACTGGTTTTCTTCCCGTAAGTAGCTCGAGAAGGACAACACCATAGCTGTAGACATCGCTCTTTACAAGAAGGTGGCCCGTCATTGCATACTCCGGAGCTAGATAACTGGAAATCAGAAGGTAATATGTTAGGTGAAAAGTAAATGAACTTGAAGAAACTACATGACAGATAGTAGTTTTGTTACCCAAAAGTTCCCATCACATGGGTTGAGATGTGCTTGTTTCCTTCCTCTAGTGCAGTTCTAGCTAATCCAAAATCTGAAACTTTAGCTGTAAAGTCATATTCCAACAAGATGTTGCTAGCTTTGAAATCTCGATGAATAACTCGAGGATTAGAGTCTTCGTGCAAATAAGCTAGGCCACGAGCAGCACCGAGGGCAATCTTCATCCGAGCATCCCAGTCAAGAGGGCCAGTTAACTTGTCAATGCCTGAAATCACACAGAACAATTTGGATATGAATGTCAAACCACCTATTTCAACCAAGAACTAATGCGGTTTGACGATCCGATTTCAGAACTTGCAGAAAGTTGCTTACCATGTAAATGCGATTCGACGCTTCCATTCGGAACCAATTCATAAACAAGGCAGCGAATCTGATCTTCTGTACAGATACCAATCAATTTAACTAGATTTCTATGGTGTAGACGGCTCAGCATCTCGACTTCGGCCAAGAATTCCCGAATACCGTGTTGATTATGTCGTTTGAGAACCTTCACAGCCACTTCCCTTCCATCATCCAAACTGCCACTGTAAACAATTCCAAAGCCACCTTCTCCTAATATTCTTGCAACGTCGAAGTTGTCGGTAGCTTTCTTCATATCTTTCAAGGTGAAGTTCTTTGCAGCTCCTATATACATCATAGGATCGGCATCGAGAGGCAGGGATGAAGAACCAGGTTCAGTTCCAGCCATCATTAATCCAGCAGGGCCTGTAGAAATGACTCAGTTCAGGACTAAACAAGTACAGACCCTATTAAGGGAACATTATTAAGAAGAATTTGATTGAATAGCTTTACCTGATGGTTTTGTAGGTGAGGCTATCAAGTTTTGTGGAGCTTGTGCTGCCTGATGTGCAAACACTCTGCATCTCAACAGGCAAAGCCAAGCAAGTCCAACACACATAACAAAGGCAGTGAACGACGATATAGTAATCACGGCGATCATGTTTCCGCTAAGCCCTTCTTTCCTTCTTCTTGGCACGTCGACTCCCAAAGGTTTTATAGCATTTCCAATATTAGTATTGCTCGTGTTCAAGCCATCGTTAATGGATGAAGTACCTGAAGGAGGTAACGGAGGAGATGGCGGAAGACCTGCATAAGCTAGAGCTTATCAGAAAAAGGACATAAAAATATGCCCCTGAGATTGTTGAAGAATTTCATGATGCATAAGTTTTTTCTTTAAGTCTTAGAACAACTAATCCAACAAGAGACCGTCTTTTGAAGTATCAATCAATGAGAACGATAGGACCAAAAATGTAACAGCCTAAGCCCACTGCGAGTAAATATTGTCCATTTTGGCCCGTTATGTAATGCCGTCAGCTTCACAGTTTTAAAACACGTCTACTAGGGAGAGATTTCCACACCCTTACGTTCCCCTCTCCAATTGATGTGGGATCTCACAATCCACTCCCTTGAGGGCCCAGCGTTCTCACTGACACATTGCCCGGTGTCGGCTCTGATATCATTTGTAACATTCTAAGCTCACCACTAGCAGTTATTATCTGTTTTGGCCCGTTACGTATCACAATCAACTTCACGGTTTTAAAACGCGTCTACTAGGGAGAGGTTTTCGCACCCTTACGTTTTCCCTCTCCAACCGATGTGGGATCTCACAAATAATGTGAATAATGCACTAGATTCACTTATCCACATCCACTGGTGTGTGTAATCTTTTAATATCCAAAACCAAAAGATGAAGGATCAAGAGATAACCTGGATATTTGACATTCAGGACTTGATATCGACCAAATAACGAAGCGTTAATGGATATTTTTCTGTGCCAAAACTTCTGATATATCGAAAAGGCCATGGTATCATTGAATTTCGGTCCTCTCGGAACCAAGTTGATGAGGACAGTCGTTTTTTCTAACTGCTGACTAGCAGCATCAGCTCCCATAATTCGAACTTGGCTATGGTTCAGACCAATACTGTCTGCAATTTCCTCTGCCAGCTCCGAAACCAGAGGGAAAAACGTGTATATTGCAACATCAAGACTGATTTTGACTTGAATTGGCCACACGCAACCACACAACGTCCCGGGAGGTGTATAGGTCAGTGGCTCGGTACATGATATCACACAATCTACAAGTATGGAACGCAAAGTATATGGTTACCATAACGTGGAAACATTCCGATAACTCAATATGAAATACCGAGCGAAAAGTGTATGCCTACCCCCATTAGGAGGTGGGGGTGGTAGCATCATAACTTGTGATGGTGGCATGCTCTTCTTCCTCTTCTTGTAAGAACCCATAGGAGAAATTGTAGGAGCAGGAATGGGCACTGTTATAAACAAGGCATGAACATATCATAAAGTTAACGTCATCCTTGAGCATATCATAGTTCAAGAAAATGTTTAGGTTCTCTTTGTCATACTATAATAGTGGTTCGGTGGAATCATTGGCGATGGCGCAGGTCTCGGCGACCTTCCTCTCGTTGCAGATGGTAATGGTGATTGAATTGGAGAGACAGCAGCACGGCCTGAAACTTCACTAGTGAATACTTCCATAGATCTAAATGGATGAGATTCAAGAAACAAATTAATATATCGTTCGACTCTTCACCTTGCTGGCCATTCTCCGGAGTCGATGCGCGATAACCACGCCGTGGAGCATTGTTTCTAAACTTCCTTCTTGAATGGCGAAATTCATGACCGTGCCCCCATTTCTTAGCAGGTACGGTAGGTGGAAGTGCAATGCTAGGAGCTCTACTCGAATCATCTAATCGAGTCGCTGCATCATAGGAACAATAAACGTTACTGTTTATATGAACATTGTCAAGATTTGATAGCTCAGAAAGTTGAAAGGATGAACATAGAAACTATAATCTACACTCAGTTAGCTTGAGATTTATGTCTTCCAATACGTTTTTCGGCGCTCGATTTCGCCATATATCATAAAACTATACTACTTCATAGTGAACACAGAGATCAAATGTTGCTAGTTTTACAGAAATTCTCAAACTGAGTTTCAAAGATTCACCTGTGAGCGAAGAACGCACTTCGCTTCGACCGTTCGGGACGATAACTGCAAAATGAGAGCAGAAAGATCATAATATGGAACAAAAAGCAGCAAAATCTCAGCAAGCAACACAAAATGGAGTAGATTATGCATAGTTTGGTCACTTACTTTTGATGTCACCTGTGAGCGAAGAACGCGCTTGGCTTCGCCTGTTCGGGACGATAACTGCAAAATGAGAGCAGAAAGATCCATAATATGGAACAAAAAGCAGCAGAATCTCAGCAAGCAACACAAAATGGAGTAGATTGTGCATAGTTTGGTCAGTTCTACGTTTGATGCAAGTAAGAAAGAACTATGATAAGAAACGTACTGGATTTCAACTCACAATCTAAAGATCAAACACTCGATGCATGAAGCTAATCATACTGTTAATACTAGAAAAGTGATCATTCAACAGATTCTCATCTCATTCCAGATCAAACCCAGATCCAAATTCATCCCCAAATGATGTTTTCTAGAACTTAAACGATCAGATCAAACGAAACGAAATGAAGCGAAGCCCATTCAATACCTGAAGATTCACAGACAGAGCAAGAACGAACAGCAAAACAAATCCCAAAAAGCAGAAACAGCGATCGAAACCCCATCAGAGTCGCAATCGCAGAGGAAATTTCAGCAGTTTTCATCAGATCTCTTCCTTTTTTCACCGCACTCAACCGCTCAAAATGAGAGAAATCAGAAAGAATCAGAGAATTTAAGAATTAGCGACATGGGTACTACGAGTAACAGCTCGAGAGCCGAACAGTTCCGAAAAACAAACGAAGAAGACCCACAAATTGTACTGTAAAAGCAATGGGAAAAACAAACACAAATGAAACGAAAACTGTGCTCTAGAATTATCAGAGCATTAAGAACAACACTAAAACAACACCCCCTTCTTCTCATCCGTGATTAAAGTGCTTCTTCTTCCCAATCCGATTAATCCAAACCCACTACAAGACACACTTAATCGAGCAAGAGAGAGAGAGAGAGAGAAAAAGGGTTACGGGTAAAAGTAGAGGAAAGCTTTAAAAAAATGGATTGAAATTGCAATGGTGGACTTCGATTCAGCCAAACGTCCAAGTGATTCTCCGCAAGTTCATATAAATAATGTTTAAAGTTGAATTTGTCTTGAGTAATGAAGAATTAGGCGACGAATTTAAGTGGGTTTTGAAAATTAATGGTTGAAATTTGTGTTCGTTGCTTTCTTGTGGGCCTCATAAGACTAAACCCATTAAGATTAGTGCAAAAAAAACGAATCAAAATTGAGAATTTAAGCTTCAATTTCTTTATTTTCCTTCCCTTTGTAAACAAGAACAGATATAAATGAAGACAGACAAAGGGGAAGAAGCTCTTCATTCATTCTTTCTTTCCTTAAATTATATTCTACGGTCAAAATTATATTTAAATTCGAAATAGAAATTAGTCGCTAAATTAATATAAATACTAGTAGAGTTTATATTTTATCTAAAAATATATATAAAATTTTAATAGTGACGGGCGGTGTGTACAAGGCCCGGGAACGAATTCACCGTCGTATGGCTAACCGGTAATTACTAGCGATTCCGACTTCATGCAGGCGAGTTGAAGCCTACAATCCGAACTGAGGACGGATTTTTGGAGTTAGCTCACCCTCACAAAATAAAAAGGTAAAAAAGAAAATTAAAAAGTTTCGTTAATATCTCTCCCTTTAAAAAAAAAAATTTAAAAATATTTTTATTGTTGAAATATTAAAAGTGGGATTTATAAAAATTCAAATAAATTACTAAATTATAAAAATGGCCCTTAAAATTTATCATTTGTTTAAAAATATTTATATTGTTTTTAATATTTATTAAATAAAAAATCCTTAAAATTAAATAAATAAATAAATAAAATGTGGCTGAAGGATAATCTACAGAGCATAAACGAACGGCGCCTAAAAAGCCAATGAATGTTGACAAATAACGTACCCACCTCAGGGCAGGGCGGCCCTCAAAGATTTGGCAGTTGATTTGCCACCTGCTGTCTCGTTTCCCCACAACACTGCTCAATCACATCTCGACACGTGTTCTCTATTTCATTTATGTCGGTGATTTTAGCTCCCTTATCACATAATCTACAACCGACGTTTTTTAATCTTTATAATTCGACTATTTTCTCCCTCAACTTAATTTTTAGTGGAATGTTTGGTAATTTAAAAAATATATATTAATTTCTATCCATTCACCTTCCATACCTTTTCGGTTCGCTCCACCAACCTTAATAATGTTCGAGCTCATATTCTGCAGACGACCATATAGAGTATCACATTTTATACAGTTATGAAGTATATCAGTACGTGTTACACTGACGTATAGATAAGTTTTGTCTAGTAAAACCATTCTATCGTCTACTTTCAATAAACGTGATCGACCCAGCTCTAGATCATCTTCTGAAATAATAACCGTCAAAAGTGAGTCAATGTCTATCAAAATTGTTATAGTCAAATACTTCAAAGTCAAAAATCTCAGTAAATTATTCTATTATTGGCTGGATTTAAATATTTTGACGGACGTAAAAAGACAAAAATGTGTAATAAAATATTATATTTTAAAATATTTTAATAATAGATTCATAGGTTAAATATTAAATAGTGAAAGCAATTATTTATGATACTGTGGTCCTTGCAATTTGAAAGCAATTATTGATGTTCTTTTGGACGGTTGAAATATGGAAATATTGAGTATTTTTCAAAATTAAAAGCAATTATTACCTTATATATAAATTCAATTATTGTTACAGCTTCGTGTATTAATTATAACATGTGCCCTACTTGCCTTAAATTAACATGTAAACATCCGCTCGTATTTCCAAATTAATACGTCATAATTCTTTTTCTATATAATTTTATATTTTTATTACAACAATTGAAAATATTGTTTTCGATATCAACTTCTTTCCAAGAACCATTTTCGTTTCATAAGCTTACAACATTTTGATCAACACGGTCGGTAGGAGTGATAATTAGTATCTAAACACTGCCTGTAAGGTCAGTACGAATGCCAATTTCAACCCCAACTCTATCGTTGTCAGCCTCAAAATCACTGTCAAAGCGTAGAGATGGACGGTGAGGTGGTCAATTCGTTGAAGGCGAAGAGCAAAACCGTTTTTTATAGCTAAAAAAATGTTAAATATTTGAATTCATATTTTTATAGCTAAAAAAAATTCAATTATTCACTCTAATAAGTAAATAATTTTTTATATGGTCAATTTAAATATAATATCGTGAGGTAAGTAATTTAATTAATTAAAATTGGTTCTCATTAATGTGCAAAATAGGTGAATACATTAAAAAATGGTTTCATTAATTAATTTCCTATGAAGTATGAAAAATTAACATTGGAAGAAGGTTAAAGTGAAGAGAGGTAAAAAATAATTGAATTTTACCTCTTCTTTTTTTAAAATATATCACTCACCTTTTTCTCAAATATATACTTTAGGACTAAATAAAAAAAAAATTAAAAAAAAAAAGTAAAAAAGTAAAGAAGAAGGTAAGTATCAGAGGGTGGTTGGGAAGGTAAATAAATTATTTACTGCACCTTTAACCTCTCCATCTTGGTCATTTTGCATTGGCTCTGAATCTTCTTTCAATATCACATTATCTATTTCCACCATGCCTGCTTCTACCTCACTGCACAATTTAATTTAAATTTTTAAAGCTATATTCTTTTGCTTATGAAAATTAATAATTACAAAATTTTAATATATTAAAAATACTGAAAAGGCCTGATCCATTGGGTTATGATATGAATCCAATCACTCGTCAAAATTGATGTATCGAAAGTAAAGAAGATTCAAGATACTTATATATTATATCTTCAAATCTTGCAAATTTACAAGTTGAAACTGTTGATGATGAAAATCTTACATTGGCTAACCACGTCGGCTAACTTAGGGAATGATCATGAGTTTATAATCAAGGAATACTCTTCCATTCGGTGAGGCCTTTTGCTTATGTTTAAAGTGGACAATATCCGTGTTCGTCTAATAGAAACAAAGATTTTTTTAGTCCAAAAATCTTTATATAGCATATTAAATCAATAGAATAACCGAGTTACAGTCTACCAATTAAAACTATTTATCCTTATTTTCTTAAATTTGTTTCCTGCCTTATTTTCTTCCATTTGTTTTGTTATAATTCTTTCAAACCTTGCTTTAAGTTTGAGGTTAAAATCGATTCATTGGAGTAGTCAGGATCAAGTTAATTGTGGAGTGAGTGATCTCAGTCATGAGATCTAAGAGTGATCATCATAGATTCCAAGTTCAATCTAAGAGTTATTCATCCTTCTAATTTGTTATAATCTGCTGCTCCTGATTCAAACAAATGTAAACTTTATTTCTAAAAATTTGCAGACCATTGCAAAATCCAGCAGAAGGATCTCTAGCTTTCCAAAATTCCTCAACGACTATAAATTCCTCTAGGGCTATGTTATGGACCAGGCTTGAAGCAAGTCAATTGGAATAAAATATAAAAATAAATTCCATAACGTAGGTTGGCGCCAAATATGATGAGTAAATCAATATATATATATAATTTGTAACATTAAAATTATAAATTAGATAAAAATGAAAAAGAGAAGAAACTGACCTCTTATGAAGAAACTGATGATGATCCGGATGAAACCTAACAAATTGTTGATGATGATAATGAATATCGACATGATCAAAATCATGAACAGAGGATTTGAAGGAAGAACAGGGCGAGATTTGGGAAGCCTGAATCCCCCAAACCTCCGCCGCTTCGTCGTCTAAACTCTCCGCATTTTCATTTTCCCCAATTACAAATCCTTCCTCCACAAATTGGTGCTCGATTCCGGCGTATCCTCCACTCATAGGATGATCCGCGTCCAGAATCGCAGCGGCAGAAACAGAGGCAGCAGCCTGGTGCTTACAGATCGCCAATTGATGAAGCACGATCTCGAGCTCGGCTTTGCTGTACTGGATCTGGCGCTGAAGGTCGCGAATGATGCGGTAACATCCGCCGACCGGATCGAGGGATCGGACGTCGGATTGGAATATAATGGTGCGCATTGCCTCTTCCTTTTGGAAGGGATCGAGGTTTTTGATGATTTTGGTGATGTTGCTAACGCCGAAGAGTTTGTGAGCGTTGAGGAATTGGCGTTGGCGATGGTGAGGGAAGTAGGGGGCTAGGATGCAGTCGGGAACGCACTTGCGGCGTTGGTACTTGCAGGCGGCGCAGGCTTGGGTGGTGGCGGTGGAGGAGGAGGAGGAGACGGCGGAGGTGGATTTGGAGAGGTGGTGGTGGTGGGGAGGAGGGTGGTGGTGGTGGATGGAGGTCATTTGAGGGTTAAAGAGAATGTTGTAGTTGAAGATGGAAGGTATTGAGATAGCGGGTGCGGCTGCGGCGGGGATGGGCCGAGGGAAATTGGAGGATTTGAAATTTGGGGGAAATTAAAGGAATTACTTTCTTTTTTTATTATTTATTATTTCTTTTTTAATTATTATTATTATTTTAGTGAGGGAAAATGGGTGGATGTGAAAACGACAGATCTCAACTGAATTTGGTCAGAACGAGGAATTTTGAAGGGAATGTTTTGAGTTGAGGGTTGTCTTTTTGTGGTCAAGATTTTTTTTTTTTCAATTATATATATATATATACACACACACAAATTTCAAGCTAATTCAACTTGAATTTTAAAAAAAAAATTGATAGTTCAAAAATTAAATTTAAAATTTCTTCAGAGACTAAATAGTTTGTTTTCGAGGTTAAATCTGTAATTTAAACTTCTACAAACAAAAATTAAGTTAAAAGTAAAATTTAAAAACTTATTTTTCATTTAAAATTTTGAGAAAATGTTTTTTTTTTTAATATTTTGGTTCAAAAAATTTCACGATTTTTTTAAAGATTAGATATAAATTAGTGGTGCATGAATGAATCCAGACTATATTTAAATGAGAGCAATAATGATAATGATAATAACTAAGAAAAGCTTAAAAAAATTGAAATTACCATATATACTAACGAGTTGGGCCTTCATTTTTTGTGGCCAAATTATAAGAACTCTAAAATTAAGTGTGCTTTGTTTGAAGTAATTGTATGTTGGTTGACAATTTTTAGAGTGAGGACAAAACATGACTACATTGTAGGGATGCAGAAGAAAGTCAAAGCATACAGGTGTCAAATCCTAATCTAAATCTTGGGTATGGAGAGTTACA